GGACCAGGACCAGGACCAGGACTGACCAGGACCAGACCAGACCAGGACCAGGACTGAGACCAGGACCAGGACTGGACTGACCAGGACCAGGACCAGGACCAGGACCAGGACTGACCAGGACCAGGACCAGGACCAGGACCAGGACCAGACTAAAGACGAGGGGGATGGTCTGGTGTAGGTTCTGCTCTGTTGAGTTGATTCAGTCTCTGTCCTGACTCACGCTGGTATAATAATAATAATAATAATAATAATAATAATAATAATAATAATAATAATAATAATAATAATAATGAATCACGCTGTAGAACTTGATTGATGCATCCGCTCGCCTTTACATAGAGTTAACATGTCAATCGTTCACATCTTTTCAAGATGGCCGACAGAGCAGTGGGGCTGGTGTGAGCTAAAGAAGAAATCTCAGTCTGTAAATTATAAAGCACTAATTCTGCTCAACTTTTTGCATTTTTCTGTTTCCTCTGTGGATCTGTTTGGCATCTGAACTTTTTGGATCTGTTTGGTGTCAAACTCATGAAGCTTTTCAAACTTCCTTTGTTCCTCCACTAACAACATGGACTCGGAGTTGGACCAGCCTGTAACCAACAAAACCCTGATTGTCACTCGACAGCAATTTAAAAACCACATGCTTCTCACTTTGATCCAAACTTGACAAAACTCAAAACTGCATGAACACAATGCAAGATTGGCTCAAGACAGTGGGAGCCAGAGTGGATCATCTTGAGGACAGGGTTCGCTCTAATCATGATGACCTGGTCAGCTTGGAATTGCAGGTGAAAACCTTGGAGAAACAGAACTCTTACCTGGCGGGGAAAGTTGAGGAAGCTGAAAACCGTAGCAGGGCCTCTAACATTGGTCTACTACGTGTGCCAGAGGGATCCGAGGGTCGCCACGTGATCGGCTTTGTCGCTCAACTCCTCGCTCAACTTTTTGGCCCGGATAATCTTCCATCTCCCCTGGTCATCGAACGAGCTCCTCGCTCTCCTGGAGTGAGACGTGACGCTAAATCATCTCCGAGATCGATCCTTGTGAAGTTCTTGCATTTCCAAGATAAGCTAAAAGTCTCCGTCTCTCCCGAGACAAAAATGAGCTCATCTTCAGTGGAACTGGAGTTCACATATACCCTGACTTCAGGGCTGGATTGCAGGAGAAACGGCGTCTGTTTAATCCGGTGAAAAAGAAGCTCCGCGACTTCAACATAAAATACACACTTTTATACCCGGCAACTTTTCCAGTCCAAACCGATGGCAAAACGCTGCTGTTTCGTTCCCCGGATGAAGTGGATGCGTTTGTGGGAAATATTATGTGTTGTTCATGTTAATTCACCCAATATTATGGACTTTGGAATGACAACAGGGTGGAAAACACGTATGATTATCTGTAGGTCTATAGAACATGTTTTTCTGGACTTTGAGATGCCACGAAGCAGAAAAACTGACATATGTGGACCCGTGGCATGTTTCCACCCATGATAAGCTGCACTGGGTCAGCAGTATTGTTCATTTTCTTGCTGTTTATGCTAAATCAACAAGTTAATGTTTTGTCAAGATGTAGTATAAAGTTACCCCTGAGTTTGAGTTGGTCAGAGGCGTCGTCCGGGGTGACAGTTGTACTTGGTAATCAACTTGAATCTCTCAATGGAAATGTTGAAATAAAGTGGCCTGTTCTCTCGGATTCTCCATCTCCTGTGCTTCTTTTTAGGACACGCATGGAACCTTCTGAAAAAACCCACAAGTGGTGACCCCGACGTGATTTGACAGAGTAATGTCTGCAAACGATGCCTCCCACGAAATCCTGGAAGTAAAGACACGAAGAACATGTTCCCAAAAGAAGGTTTGACAGCGACCTTTGTTGTTTCAGAATTCCTGTCAGATTGGCTAAATGTAAAAACTAGAAATTGTGTTTTACTTCTCGGGACTTTTGTGTGATCAATTTAAAAAGTAATGGAAAACTAATTATCGCATGTTATGCTTCATGGAAAAGAAAAAAGCAAAAGCTGGAATCCGTGTTAAAAGGCTTCACGTAGAAAATAAGCCAGAAGTTTGTTAATTGAGATTGAAAACAAAACCAATAGTATGTTTAGGCTTTAATCACATAAAGCGTAATTAAGAAAGTTATTGATTCCTTGAGATACTGTGTTAACCTTCACGAGAGACAAGAAAGGAGTTTTATAAGGAAATTTATTTGCGGTTAAACTTTTTTACGCAGAGAAAAAAACTAAACTTTTAATGAAGTTTATAATAAAAATAATAAAACAAGTTGCGCACAAAAAGTAAAATAGAGTAAAAAAGAAAAAGATAAAAAAACTAACCTAGAATATGAACAAAAAAGTAAAACCAAAAGAGGAAAACTGATTAAAAAACAGTGTTGTAAAAAACAAATTAAAGATGAGGCAAAAACTATGTTTATTAATATTAGCACTTGTTCAGGTGTTAATGGCAAAAAACAGACCAGAACTAAAATATTCTGAGTTTAACTTCAAGATTACGTGTCATTGTAAAATTGATTACGGCTCTATTGAACAAACAGGGGTGTTATTTATTCCATGCAAAGCAGAAAATATCGGCTTAGTAAATGTAACACAAGAAAAACAAGAAATCGCAGCATATTCAACCCAAAACAACCAAACATTTTCAAACGTATGTCAATCCCTAAACTTTACAAACTATTTTAATACAGACGTTACAATTCAATGCACGTGGACGACAAAACCGATTTGGTCAAATATGGGATGTGTGTGCGTATCCTTTCCCCATGGCTTTACAGAGTTGGTTACTCGAAAACCATGTGGAAATGAACCACAGTTGAGCACCTTTAATACTACGGACAGAGAAAGTCCCCGATAGAGAAAAGCACCGTAAAAACACCAGAAACAATCAAGGACGGAAGAGCGTTTAGAATAAATAGCAGGACGACTGCCATAAAATTAAGCACAAAGGAAACAGATATAAAACATCAAACTAAAGAAAAGATATTTACCTATAGCTGTCGACTCCGTAAAGTTATCAGCAAAAACCTTTGGACCTGTAACTGCCCCACCTGCGCCAACCGTATCTAAAGCCACGCCTACGCCTAATAAGTCAGAGGAGATTATTAGTGGATTAAATATACTACAAATGGATTAAGATTGTTTGACATTCAATCAATAAAAAATAAAATTTACAGTCTCATGGAAAAAGTCACTTTTATGGCTGGAGCAGTGTCCAAACCAATGTTCAAACCGGATACAAGCTTAGAGAATAAAACTATGAAATTAAAAGATGATATGGTGAAAGAAATAACTGAGCAGTAAATATAACGCAGAATCTTTGTCCTTCAAACTCATCTAATATTGACAAAATACTAAAAGATCTAAAAGAAGAATATGACATATTAAAAACCATGTTGAAAGGAAGTTTTGGTTACGCTCTAACTGCATTTATTTCCGTCATGTTGACTTTAATTAGTGTATTAATCATTGCTTTGCTGTTGTGCTTGTGTTTGCCATGGAAACATGGAAGAAAAGAGCAACGCAATTTTACTAAAATAATGTTATCACGTTTTCCTGATTTCACGTCTGTAGCGAGTTGGGATGATGGGGATAGTTCAGAAGTTTAATCAGGCTACATTTGAAGTATTGGTGGCATTTTATTCTGGGGTACATTGTTGTTATGGCTGCCCGCTGGTTGGGATGATGGTAAATGATTGATTTGTTGTCCATTGGCGTTTGCTCGGCTTTTGTCAGTGTCTGATTCCCCATGAGGTTGTTTTGCTTGTTGTCTGGGCATTTTGCGTGCGCTCACCTGTGGGCGTTACTTGCCGCTACTTTTCGATGCGACACTGGCTCCTCGTATGTGAGTTCAGTTCATCTGCGGGAGCGGTTTGGTGTCGTGTTGATGAGCGGTGGTGGGAGGCGCGTGTGCAGGGGGCGTATGTGCTGGTGTCCGGCTGATGGCGGAGTGGGTTTGTGGGGTTTTTTGACGCTGGTTCGCGCTGTGGGAGGTGAAATGCTGATGTTGCTTAAACTGCTTAAACTGCATTGTATATTTGCTTTAGATTTGTTCAAAAGTGCTCCGTTTTAAATTTAACTAAACATGTTCAATTGTGTTTATGGTAAAGAGTAAGTTTGCCAATTTGCTTGATTGAAGATGCTTATTTATGGTGTAAATAAAATGATGGGCTATTGCTGAAGTTTCTGAAACAGCGTGGTTAATTGTTGAAAGCTTTGTCGGCTTGATTCAATTAATGCTGTGACTTTAAGCTTGGTAATGGCCTGTTGTTCCATGTTGAAATAATAAATCCGTGTAATAACACAGTAAACGGAGCATTTTTGATTAAATACAGCATTTCATTTCTCAACGGTGTCGGGCTGAGCGGGGGCTGATGGTTAACAATTCGTAACTGTTGAAGGTTATTAAAAATTGATGAATGTGCCCTGGATTATAAGGTTACCAAATGTAGCTGATCATTTTGTGTTTAAAATTTGAAAACATTCTTAA